CCTCTGCTCCCTGAGTCCTTGGGCGGCACGGCCGAACACCGGGCGTCCCCCGCCTGCTGGGGTCTGCGGGCTCCGGGCAGTGGACAGTGCTTAGGATCGGGAATCAGAGTCGGGCGGCGCCAGGAGCTGGAACCCAGCTCCCTGTCACATGGAGAGTCTTCAGCAGTTGGACCGCTGCGTCTCCGCCTCCCTCCGGCCCTGGGACCAGCGCAAGCGCAATAAGCCCTCTCCCGCCCCGCCCCTTCCATTGTACCTCAAGGCACGACGGGAACTGTAGTTCTCTTCTGGGCAGTCAACCTAAACTCTGTCCTGATCGCGCGCCGCGCGGGTTGGAGGAACTACTTATCCTAGCATGCATTGCGCCGCAATGGGCCAGGCTTTTTATTATTTTTTTAAACCTCGGGGAAAACAGGGGCGTGTTGTGGGGGTTTGCTACGTTTTCCAGTTTCTAATCCCTGCGGGGAGGTTGGTTGGTTGGTTGGTTGGTTGGTATTTAGCTCCTGGAATTTTGCAGTGTTGGCATTCTACACGACGAGGTCACTCAACTCCGGAAGCGAAGTGCAAAACGAGGGGGGCAGGGGTAGGAGGAGAGTGAGGGTGCTGGAAAAAAAGTTTCGGGGTCGTTATCGTATTTGTGATTTAAAAAGTTTTTGGTGTGACCACGCTTTTGTGGGAAACCCAAACCAAAGACAACTCGGGCGAGCTGGCGCTTTGCGGGTCCTGGAGGTCCCGCAGCAAACACCGGGGCTGAATGGCCGTTCCATTCATTGACGCGACTTAAGAACGCCTGCTTAGGGGCGGTCTCCTCACCAATGCCTGGGCAGAAGGCCGTTTCGAAATCTTTTGCATGTTCCTGCAAGGGCTCACAAAGTCTGCAGCTTCCTGACGTGGAGCTACTGACTAGTTGACTTTCACAGGCCTTATTTTGGCCGCCACCCCCAATCTTTTTCATTTCTCCTGGAATGAACCTGGAGAGGGCGGAGTCTAATGTTTTTAAAAAGGGAACGGGGAACCCTACCAATACCGAGTTAGTTTGAGTGCTTCTCAGAAAGTTTCTGCAGGGGAGAAAGAAACCGCGTTTCCTGGGTTGTCGCACGCGCGTGTTGGCAGGGTGTGTGTGTGTGTGTGTGTGTGTGTGCGCGCGCGTGCTTGTGGAGAGCCGGGTAGAAGGATGGGAGTGGCAAATATAAAAGCTGCACCTTGGCTAGTTAACTGCATGTCCTAATCAGTAAATATACCTTGTTTAACAATCCCATTGTTCAAAGAAAATACAAACCAATAGGGTTGGGGTGGTGTTGTTCTTGAAAATTCACTTCCTGAGTAAATTTAGTGATCGATGACTTTTTAAAAAATGTAAAATGTCGCCCTGACTGGTTTGGCTCAGTGGATAGAGCGTCAGCCTGCGGACTCAAGGGTCCCGGGTTCGATTCCGGTCAAGGGCATGTACCTTGGTTGGGGGCACGTCCCCAGTAGGGGGTGTGCAGGAGGCAGCTGGTCGATGTTTCTCTCTCATTGATGTTTCTAACTCTCTATCCCTCTCCCTTCCTCTCTGTAAAAAATCAATAAAATATATTTAAAAAAATGTAAAATGTCATCTGCCCTGAAATTCAAAGCCATCCATTCTGTGTGCTTCCGTTCTAGAGTATGGCAAAGGAAAGCAAAAGAATTAAAATATTACATACATTGAATAGTCAAAAGAAAGATTCGAGATGGTAAGTGCCTTGTGTTATCTTTTCAATCTGCGCTGGGTGACCACTAGGCATATTGTGGCTATTGAACACTTGAAATATGGTTATTGCAACTGAAAAATGGAACTGTTAATTTAATGTTTTTTTTAAATTTTAAAAACTGATTTCAGTTACTGAAAACTTTTAAGTATGTGTGGAACAACCAGAATATATGAGTCTATTTTTTTCAACTTAAACTTTATGAAATCTAAATTCAGCATTGGAATTGAGACATGCTGTATCAACTACTAGTGGGATTTCAAAGACTTAGTAGCAGAAATTTAAAACACAAAATATTGAGTAGCTCATTAACAATTCTTTATGTTGATTACATGTTGAAATGGTAGCATTTTGGATACATTGGTTTAAGTAAAATATTAAAGTAAATTTTACCTGTTTTTAATGTGGCTACTAGAACATTTAAAGCTACACACTTGGCTGACATATTTGCATTAGATAAGGCTGGCTTAAAGTATTAAAACACATAATAATACTACCTTGTTTATGGATATATTAGGGGACCAGTGCACGAATTTGTGCACCTTGAAAGGAACTGGGGCTGAGAAGCTGCGGTGGCACAGGGGTGGGTCTCGGCCCATTCTCCACAGCCCTGCCCAGCACCTCCTGCAGTGGCCCGTCCTCTGTCTGCTGGCAGTCCCTGCTCCTGCCACCACAGCTCAGGCGTGGAGTGATTGGGGCCGGTGCCAGGAGCGGGTGTGAGTGGGGGTGCTGCCCCGATCGCCCCTCAGGAGCAGGGGGAGGCCAAAGGATAGTAGAGAGATTCAAATAACTTTATCTGAAAGGTCATCATCTCACTACTACTTTTTCAGTGATAGAGCCCTGCTAAGATTCTTTAGATGTTTTAAAATATCGAAGTGAATATTGAAGGGGAAAGCACAGGTAGAGAGCTGTGAGGAACACTGTGATCTTTCCTTAGCCAGAGGGAAATTCAGAATTAAAACTAGTGTGGCCAAACACTTTTTTAAAAAAAATATGCTTTTATTGATTTTTAGATAGAGAGGAAAGGAGAGGGAAAGGGATAGAAACATCGACAACAGAGACACTCTATTGGCTGCCTCTTGCATGCCCCCTACTGGGATTGAGCCCACAACCTGGGCATGTGCCCTGACCCAGAATGGAACCCAGGACCTCTTGGTCCATGGGACAACACTCAATCCACTGAGCCACACCAGCCAGGCAACACCTACTGTTTGGGTTTTCTGATGAGTTACTATCTTAAATAATTTACTCCAAAAATAAAATGACTTTGTCTTGGCATTGCTACCCAAAAGGAGAAAAATGCTATTTAAAAAGTTATGAATCACTGACTGCATAGAACAGAATACCTATTTAACAGTATTATTAGTTTTTCTGACATAATAAGAACACTGAGGGAAGATGGTTCCTTATATTGCTTCTGTAGTTCAACAATGTCAGGGTTGGCATCTATGATTTTCTTGCCTTTCCCTCATGCTACTCAGGGTAGCATTCTCAGGATTGGTTTGAACCAGCAATAGTCTATCAATAACTTACTTCTAATCAAGGTATTTTTTACAATAAGAAGGAAGGAGAGAATGATTATTGGACAAGCAATGAACAATTATGTACAATGGTCTAGGTCAGGGGTGGGCAACCCCTGGCACGCGTGCCAAACATGGCACGCCAGTAACTTTTGCTGGCACGCGAAACCCTCTCTTATAATCTTACATTTACAATTTTTTTCTTAATATCGACTTTTTTATTTTTCAGATAAATTCAGTGTAGGTGCATCTTAGATAAATAAGTAATTTTACATAACAAGTTATCTTAAAGACCATAGACATGGATTGAC